GCTGTAGCTCAAGTGGTAGAGCGCTCGCCTTGAGCTGAAGAGCTGAGGGACAGCGCCCAGGCCCAGAGTTCAAGCCCCACGACCGACAAAAAAAAAAAAAAGATGTGCATAGTATAGAAATTAGGAGCCAGGAATTGGTACTTCACTCAATAATCCAAGCTACTCAGGAGGCTGAGATCTGAAGATGAGGTTTGAAGCCAGTGAAGCAGACATATCCATGACTCATATCTCTCTGATTAGCCAGCAAAAAGCCAGAAATAGAGCTGTGGCTCAGGTGGTAAAGTGGCAGCCCAAGCAAAGAAGCTAACAGACAGCATCCAGGCCAGAGCCTGAGTTCAAGCCCCAGTACTAAGAGGGAGGGGAGGGAGAGAGGAGAGAAAGATAAAGATTTCTGAACAAATAAAAAAGCATATGATGACAGCACACTAACCTGAGTCACTTGGTAATACCTCTACACTCCAAGCTTCGCTTGTTGTTTCTGATATGGTAGAGCCTGTGCAGGGGTCAAGAAGCACTGACCCTGAACCTGGGAGGCACAGTAAACTGCCCAACATGTTCTCTGCTGCTGCACCTGTAAAGAAGTAGGGAGTAAAGTGTTAACAAGTATCTGATGGATGGAGCAGTGATGATGGAGGAAGGCTAAACACTAAGTAAGCTGACAAAATCTTTTCTGTACCACAAGACACCAAAGTGAGAATAATTACAACCTAGCACACACAAATGTGCAATGGCACATTTCCTTTTTATCAAGTTCTTCTGCTCACTTTTGACTGTCCATTAAAAAACATATACACACAAGCATGCATACACATGCACACACACACATTTTTGGATTGAGTTATTTCAACTGGCCTCCATTTTGGTTTTTTCAATATATTTTACATGTTCTCCTGGAATCATTCTAAACTGTAGTCCTACAGGATTACAAACATTAGAGAAACTTAACCATAGAAAGTTATACTGATCAATTATGTTTTCTTCTGGCACATTAGCCACATATCCAAAGCAATAAGACATACTTGCAAGAGAATACTCTCTCCTTCACAGTACTCACTCTACTGCAAATACAGCTAATTGCTCAAATACAGCTTACTGCCAAAACCAATACTTGGCATCTGGCATAAAATAATACAAAACCAATTAAGAGATCTATTTAACATTACTCAAAAATACAAACAGAAAGAGCTAAGCATTATTGTATGACTGAATAAAGAACACTGAAGCATCAATCAAGATGCATTGTACTCATAATCAGACTTGTGGAATTCACATTTTTTTTTGGGGGGGGGTCCAGTCATGGGGCCTGAACTCTGGGCCTGGGCATTCTCCCTCAGCATTTCAGCTCAAGGCTAGCACTCTACCACTTGAACCGCAGCTCCTTGCTTATATGGTGCTGAGGAAGCGAACCCAGGGCCTCATGCATGCAAGGCAAGCACTCTACCACTGAGCCCTTCCCAGCCCTCAAAATTTTTTGTGCAATTACTTAAAAACACACACACACACAAGCCGGGCACTGGTGGCTCATGCCTGTATTCCTAGCTACTCAGGAGGCTAACATGTGAGGATCGTGCTTCAAAGAGTCCATGAGACTCTTTTTGTTGTTGTTGTTGGTTGTGGAGCTTGAACTATGGGCCTGAGTGCTGTCCCTCAGCTCTTCTGCTTAAGGCTAGTGCTCTACCCCTTGAGCCACAGCATTACTTTCTCTATGAGACTCATATCTCCAATTAACCACCAGAAAAACTGGAAGTGGTACTGTGGCTCAAGTGGTAGAGCACTAGCTTTGAAGAGTTGAGGGACAGCACCCAGGCCCAGAGTTCAAGCCCCATGACCAACAAAAAAAGTAAAAGAAATCCTCCCTTCTACAGCTAATATATGCTAATAAAAAAAAGACAAAACGCTTTCCCCCTTTCTTTTCAAAGGATACCTCTTTGGAACAGAATAAATGCAGAAGTAAGTTCATTTTAGTAGGTTTCATTTTATTAGAGCTTCAACTCAGGGTCTGGATGTTGTCCCTCAGCTTTTTCACTCAAAGATTGACACTTACTTGAGCCCTGCCTCAAGCCCTTTTCTTTTGGTTATTTTTTTTAGTAGGTTCTTGCACTTATGCCTGGGCTGGCCTGGACCACAATCCACCTATTTTTGCTTCCTGTATAATTGGGGTGACTGGCATGAACTACCTAGGCTTTTTTGGTCAGTCATGGGGCTTGAACTCTGGGCCTGGGCACTGTCCTTCAGCTCTTCAGCTCAAATTGAGTGCTCAACCACTTGAGCCAGTGCCACTTCTGGTTTTCTGGTGGTTTATTGGAGATTAAGAGTCTCATGGACTTTCCTGCTTGGGCTGGCTTTAAACTGCAATCCTCAGATCTCAGCCTCCTGAGTAACTAAGATTCCAGGCGTGAGCCACTGGTGCCCAGCTTTTTTTTTTTATTTCTTGATGCCAATACTGGGACTTAAACTTAGGGCTTACATGCTGTCTCTTAGTATTTTCACTCAAAGCTGGCATTCTACCAGCTGAGCCACAACTCTACTTCCAGCTTTTTGGTAGTTCATTAAAGACAAGAATACACAGATTTTCGGCCCAGGCTGGCTTTGAACAATTCTCAGAGCTCAGCCTCCTGAGAAGCTAGGATTACAGGAGTGAGCCACCAGCATCTAGCTCTTTTTATTGCTATCTAGTGGTGGTGCTAGGGATGGAACCCAGAGCCCCCTAAATGCTAGGCAAATGCTCTACCACTGCGCTACATCTTCAGCCTTCATTTTTAAGAACTTAATTATATTATTCCCAAAGATTTTATGGCTATTATCTGCACAAACTTTCATCTTAAAGTAAGGTATTTACTACCAAGTGGAGAATATTTTAATCATAGACCGAGAGTACATACTATGCCATGAAAACAAGACTTGACAAGAGATAATTAGAAAATCTGAGTTTTCTCTTTATTTGCAGTATTAGAATTGGGGAAACTACACTTAGAAAGAGTATCCAGTGTCCTGTACCATATAGTTTTCAAAGTTTCCCAGTCAGGTGGTCACCCATACCACCCTCCATCTATCTGAAGAATAACATTCTCTCTCATGAAGGACAGGAAGACATAAAACTACATCTATCTATCTTCCAGACACACTGAATGGACATCAGTTACCTGCAATTTCTTGTAAGCGATCTTCCTCAATGTTAGGGTCAAAGTCACTTCCCAGGACATCTGTACTCCAGGTCTCACTCACTGTTTCTGATATGTCTCTATCATCTGTTAGACCCATCATGTCACGAATCTCAAACTTCCTTAGCTTATCATCAAGATTATCTTGCGTGGTAGCTATCAAAAACAAAATTAAACATTTAAAAATTTTTTATCATCACTAAGCTTGTAGTTTCATTCTAGATCTAAAGACCAGCCTGCTCCCCAATGGCCAACTTACCTCTAGCTAAAATTAGAGAGATCCCTACCTTATCTACTATTGTTTGTATGTGTGAGTCAGCCCCGTCCAAATTAGAATGAATTAACTCACCCAGACTTCAGAGCAAGTGTTTTGGGTACTGTGCCACATTATTATGTTGGTAATCAGCTAATAAACCCATACTATAAATGTTTTAGACTTGACATGGACAACTCTGGTCTGCATTCTAAAGTTTTCATTCCATTCTAGATTAAGTTATGTGAATTCACTTTTTGTTGTTAATGTTTTTGTTTTTCGTTTGGTGTTGGGGACTGAAAGTAGAGTTTCATACCAACTCCCTATGCATGTTATATATTTTGGGTTTTTTTGGTCAGTCGTGGGGCTTGAACTCTGGGCCTGGGTGCTGTCCCTCAGCTCTTCAACTCAAGGCTAGCGCTCTACCACTTGAGCTACAGCGCCACTTCCAGTTTTCTGGTGGTTTATTGGAGATAAGAGTTTCACGGACGCCGGGCGCTGGTGGCTCATGCCTGTAATCCTAGCTACTCAGGAGGCTGAGATCTGAGGATTGCGGTTCAAAGCCAGCCCGGGCAGGAGAGACAGTGAGACTCCTATCTCCGATAAACCACCAGAAAACCGGAAGTGGCGCTGTAGCTCAAGTGGTAGAGCGCTCACCTTGAGCTGAAGAGCTGAGGGACAGCACCCAGGCTCAGAG